CTGCCCATTTCAAGGGACATATAATTAGCTCATGCAAAATGATACTTATACTCCCAATAAAGTCTGTGCTCCATTGGGATACCATTTCTGAGGTGGACCTCAGACTTACACCAACCTGCCACACACTAACTTATCCAATATATTTGGGGTAATTGTTAGAGACTTTCAGATATTTAAAACTACCTCTCTTCCAGAGGATCAAATTTTCATGAAAAGAAGAGGGCAGGGGCTTCCCTGGTGGCGCAGTGGTTGAGAGTCCGCCTGCCGATGCAGGGGACACGGGTTCGTGCCCCGGTCTGGGAGGATCCCACATGCCGCGGAGCGGCTGGACCCGTGAGCCATGGCCGCGGGGCCTGCACGTCCAGAGCCTGTGCTCCGCAACGGGAGAGGCCACAACAGTGAGAGGCCCGCGTACCGCAAAAAAAAAAAAAAAAAAAAAAAAAAGAAGAGGGCAGCATAGCAGAATCTGGACAACTCCCAGAGAGATAACTGGCTCCTCCTGCATTCTCTGTGAGCTGCAGTTCCCACAGATGCCATAAATGACACAACTTCTACTCTAGAAGGCTCCCCCACCCCCAGAAAAGTCTAAATTCTTTAGCCAGGCTGTCACGAGCAATCCGAGGAGCGAGTTAGCTTTAGCAATACCTCTTGCTGCACTTATATAAATACTACAGGTCAAGTAGAACAATTTCTGATGAGGCTAAAAGAAAAAGGCACCTGGCTCTCTACAAGAGACCAGCTGAAACATGGGACATATTCCCATGGCCTGGGTTGGGTCATCTAGGCCCCTGTGCCCAGAGTCTATTACGAGGCTGAATCATCATCTTGTTTCTGGTAACTGCCTGTGGTGATTTTGGCCGATGGATCCTGTCCAGAGTCGTAAATGCCACTGTGCAGCCCTTGTCACATCAGAAGGTTCAATACCTCATCCTGCAACAAAAGGAGCAGGAGAGACTTGCCCAAGTCCTCCTGCAGACAATTTTCTCGGTGCCCCCTCCAGATCAGCAATATCTCAGCAATGGTGATGATTAGAATATATAAATTCATGTCCTGTGGCCTGACCTCATCTGACCTTGGATGAAAGGCGGGGAATGAGAAAGAAATGCAGCCCCTGACATCCAGGAGCTGGCCTGGCACTCACAGCAAGGCCTTGGTGCTCTCCCGATGGACATGACCAATTTCACAGATTCCAAACATCAGACAAGGCCACTCTATGACTGTAATAGATCAAGACAAAAACTAGACCAATAAGCATTGTCCAAATTCCCCAAATGACTAAACATCACCCTCTCCTAGCTCATATGAACGGGTGCTGCTTCTTTATCAATCACTCCCTTCGCCTCACCTTTCTAGATAAGGATTAAGATACCCAATCATAGAATCACCCCCACTTACTGACAGCCTCCAATCCTTGGACTCTCCCCTCAAATTGCCTAACACAAGGCCACATCCCATAATAGAATCTAACACCTTACCGAGACATCGCATGGTGTATATGTTCTCCTTCGTGGCAAGGAATCAATGAACCCAGATTTGTGTGACTGGATGAAGAAATTAATGAATGAAGGGACTTATAATAAAAGATCCAGGACTTACCCTCTAAGAGCTCATAATGTAGCAGGAGAGACAGACAAACCAACGGTTCTCAGGCAGTGTGATGAGTATTATAATAAAACGTAAAGACAGGGTGCTGTACAAGTGACATGTCAGAGCCAGGGGTTTCAGTGAAGGCTTCCTGGTAGAGGGGACACTAGGGTGAATCTTAGGTAGGAGTTAGCCCAGTACAGAGGTAGGGGTTGGATTTAGTGGGAGGAAAAACGTGTCTAGGCAGAGAATAGAAAGTTCAAAGGCAAGAAGCAGAGAGAGTATATAGCTAGACCATGACTGAGGTCAAGAAAGGACTACCAGCAAGTCTGCAGGGCCTTATATGCTTTTAGGTCCATTGAAGGGTGGTAGGATTAGATTGTATTTTATAAAGATTCAATAACCACATAATGTGATCAAAGTTAACAAATCATTTACCTCCAGATGTTAAGATGGATACAGCATCACTTTTATTGTATCGCCAAAAAGGCATAAATTGAATTAACCATGAGGAAAAAGCAAATAATCCCAAATTAAGGAACATTCTGCACTTTGAACTCCAAAAATATCAATGTCATAAAGGAAAAAAAGGCTAAGGAGCTGTTCCAGGTTAAAGGAGACTAAACAGAGCTAAACACAATGCTTTACCCTGGATTGGAATTGGGAACGAAATACTTTTTTTCTTTTGCTAGAAAGAACATTAGTGGGACAACTGATGAGACTCAGCTAGATAATACTGTATGGATGTTAATTGCCTGATCTTGGGAATTCCCTGGTGGTCCACTGGTTAGGACTCTATGCTTTCACTGCGGCTGTGAGCCCGGCTTCAATCCCTGTTCGGGGAACTAAGATTGCCACAAGCCACGTGGTGTGGCCAAAAAAAAAAAATTCCCTGATCTTGATAACTGTACTGTGGTTATATAAGAGAATGTCCTTGTCTTCAGGAAATGCACACCACAGTATTTAAAGGTAAAGGAGCACCATGTCTGTAACTAACTCTCAAACTGTTCATAAATATATATATATATATATATATATATATGTGTGTGTGTGTGTGTGTGTGTAAATGAGAGAAGGATAAAGCAAATGTGGTAAACTGTTAACATTTGGGGAATCTAGATGAAGGGTAGTCATGAATTCTTTATATTATTCCTGCAACTTTTCTGTAAGACTGAAATTTCTTCAAAATATAGTTACCCCTTCCCTACCAAAAAAAAAATGCATGTAGTTGAACAAGCTCTATGTGTCAGTACTGTGGTGGGACCTGGGAAGGAGAGGGTAAATAAGATGCATCCCCTGCTCTACAGGACTCATGGTCTAGCGGGCCATCTTGGCAGCAGATCCAAAGGTATGAGACAAGACCTCCAAGAAGATGACAACAATTTGGGCAAGAAATGGGGAAGGCCTGAATGAATTAGGGCAGTGCCAACGTAGCTGGAAGGACATTAAAGGGACAATATTTATGATCTGGTGACTAACTGGACTTGAGGTAGGGAACAAGAGAAGTCTAGTGAGGTGTCTGGGCTTCTTACACAGTCCATTGGCTGGACCATGGTCCCAGTCACCAAGACAGAGTGCTCAGGCAGTTTGTGGAGAGTAATGGGATTGAGTTTGGACAGCTCAGTGGTGCTGTTAAGTAGAGGGTTTGAGCTACAGGACTGTAGTTTAGGGGAAAGATCTGAGCTGAGATATATTTGGAGGAGTCATCAGCATTGAGGAGTTAGAGGAAGCCACGAGATGAGAAGAAGGCACAAGAGAACCCCAACATCTGGAGATCGCAGTCCCAGTCTTTGCCTCACCCAAGAAAATGTCCTTCAAGTTCTTACTTTTCTACCGATGGTTTGGGCTCTTTGCCAGATTTTTCCCAGCTGGATGTGTGGCTTTCGGAGGCTCCTCACTTTGTAGACTTCCTTCCCACACGTAAATGGGGACATGGGAGAGTAGTTGTCTTAAGTACCTCCCGGTGTGAAGGCGAAATAATTGAGGCCATAAACACCAGTTATTCTAAGTACTGACCGTAAACTGAACTGAGATTGCTCCAGCCATCTCCTGCCTGTGCCTTTAGGTATTGATTTCTGGTTCTTCCTCCTTAGTGAATTAAAGGAAATTAGAATGCCACAATGATCGTGATTTGAGTGCGATTTGATAGTGCAGATGGCAAAGAATGGGACACTTGATTGAGAGATATAAATAATGAGGTAACACTGACCTTGGATTCAACACATATAATAAAATGCATAAATCTCAAGCGTGGCACTGGATGGTTTTTGACAGTACATACACCTGTGCAACTCACGCCTCCATCAGGTTACAGAACAGCTCCATCACCCCAGAAAATTCCCTCAACTCCCCTTCACAGTTAATACCTGACTCGCACCCCTCAGGAGCAGCCACCATTCTGCTTGCCTCCCTCCCTTAATTTTATTTTTTAATGTTTTAAACTTGTGGGTTATTTAGAGAAAGTATGGATGGTCAGGTGGCAGAGCCAGGAATGCATTTATGCTCTCAATGGAGAATGTGAAACTGAGTGCAGTTTAGGAATATTTATTCCACAGGATTTTTTTTATTGAGGTATAGTTGATGTACAATATTACATAAGTTTCAGATGTACAGCATAGTGATTCACAATTTTTAAAGTTTATATTCCACTTATAGTTATTATAAAATATTGGCTATATTCCCTGTGCTGTACAATATTTCCTTGTATCTTATTTATTTTATACATAGTAGTTTGTGCCTCTTACTCCCCTACCTCTACCTTGCCCCTCCCCGCTTCCCTCTCCCCACTGCTAACCACTAGTTTGTTCTCTGTGTCTGTGAGTCTGCTTCTTTGTGTTATATTCATTAGTTTGTTGTATTTTTTAGATTCCATCTATAAGTGATATTACACAGGATTTCTCTTTCTCTGTCTGACTTATTTCACTAAGCATCAAATAAAGCCTCTCTTGCCCCACCAAAAACGTTTTGCAATAGTTGGCCTCCAGTTGACTCTTCTCCACTAGGAAAATAGGATTTGTTTAACCGTTTGAACTTTCCTTTTGAACCTGTTTGTGTTTAACCGGACCCTCGACCCAATCTCTCGGTGAGGCATTTGGATAACTTTTTTTGGTTAAGTCAGAGATTACGTTTAGCTATCCGTCCAAACTCCAAAGCTTAGGTTCACTGGGCTCCAAGCCTCTATCCCACCTCCCTGCCCCGGCGGGCTCTGCTGGATTCTTCCTGCCGAGGAGGAGGGAAGGCGTGGAGGGAATCGGTTCCCACCCACAGCCCCGGCCGGGTGACTCTCCACCGCGGGCCCTGCTCTGCCACCTGACCTCTGAGCCACCTGCAAGTCATCAGGCTGGTGAGTGCCCTGCTCAGGCCGGCCTCCCCGCCCCCTCCCTGGAGAGGGGACATCTGGCGACAGCCAGCCCCACCCCCAAACCCGAGCGGCTGAAAGGAGACCGACCCCCTCTGCCACCCGGGGACCCGCGCCCCACTCGGCCGGCCGGGGCTGGGGAGGAGGCGGGCGCAACCTTCAGCTTCCCCGCGGCACCCTAGGCCGCGGCTGCGCCGCCAGCCGGTACCGGGCCCCGCGCCCGCACAGGTGGCCCGAGCAGAAAAGGGACATTTGCCAGACACCCCCTCCCCCCTTCTTGCACCACGGAGCGTGGGGTTAAAAGTTGCAATTGCAAAAGTCCCGCGTCTGATCTTGGGCCTTATCTCAGATAGACAGCAGGAAGGCCTTTAGACCTCTGCCAATTTTTAACAGCCAGTGACGACTGCAAATGCTACAGCGCTGGCAGGCAGCATTTGAGGACGATTTGAGCTGTGCTTCTTAAAAATTAAAAAAAAGCGATTTATCAAAGGTAATATTAAACCAAAGATTATTTTCCCCTACCATTAATTTGCCCATCCATGTGTGGGACCAGTGACTTCAAATCAGATAATTGTCAAGGAGAAGGGTGAAGATGCAGGCAGTTTTGATCACCATCAGGACACAGTCTGGGAAAGAGAGAATGCTCTTGAAAGTTGTCTGTCTTTCCTCTCCCACGTGGGTTTCTTAAGTAAGGATTTTTTCTTTTCTGATTATTTTTCTTTTTCTTCTACCTGTTCGCTGGTCACAGCCTCTGGCCTAAAGTCCCAGCATAGAATGTTCCTGCCTATGGAGTTCAAGACTCCTTGCCAAACTGGCATGGTGCCTTCCTAGGCAGCAAGAAATAGCTGAGGGGCTGTCATTTCCTACAGTGGTGCCCCAACAATGTCCTTTTCTCCCCCCTTTCCATTGTCTGAATTTGAAAATGGATGTTATAGAGAACAGACTGGTGGTTGCCAAGGGAGAGGGGGCTGGGGGAGGGATGGAGTGGGAGGTTGGGATTAGCAGATGCAAACTACTATATATAAAATAGATAAACAACAAGGTCCTACTGTATAGCACAGGGAACTATATTCAACATCTTATGAAAAACCATAATGGAAAAGACTATATTAAAAAAGAATGCATATATATATATATATATATATAAACTGAATCACTTTTTTGTACAGCAGTAATTAACACAACATTGTAAATCAACTAGACTTAAATTAAAAAAAAGAATATGGATGTTATTTCTACTTTAGTGTATTATCACTGATGAACTGCATTTCGAAAAATGCAGTTCAGAAAAGTGCAGAGCAGGAAGATTGGCCTTTGGGCCGTTAGAAAAGGAAATCAACACCGTGCACGGATGGGAAGGACAGCAGGAGAAGGATGCCCAGAGGGCCACCAATGAGGTAGTTTCCCACCCCCTGACCCGCCTTGGGGGCTTGGGTGCTGGCATAAAGGCAGCCTTGCCTTGTAGAAGCAGCCAGCTCTCTCTGGGGGTCACTAGCGCCAAGGTGTGGATGTTGGAGTGTTGCTTTTTCTCTCTCTCTTTTTAAGAGAAACCTTGAAAAAAAAAAAGCACCGGTAAGTTGACTGAAGATGTCTTGTGTTATGGCCTATCAGCTCTTTCTTCTTTTTTATCTGTCTCCTGCCACATTGCATATTTTGTTCTGATTGGGGAAAGTGTGTCCAGCCTTTCCAGTTCTGATTTTAAAAACTCAATCTGTATTGGGATCTTACCAGCGTCTTAGGTGTTTTGCTGAATTTGCTCCATGCGATGACATTTCACTTTATCTCTGTTGTCTTCAGTAAATCTCCCCCATGACAATGTCTTCCGCTAAGATTGAGTGTGTTTTGCGGGAGAACTGGCGCTGCGGTGAGTCTCCAGTGTGGGAGGAGGCATCCAACTCTCTGCTCTTCGTAGATATTCCTGCAAAAAAGGTTTGCCGGTGGGATTCGCTCAGCAAGCAAGTGCAGCAAGTGACCGTGGGTAAGGATGAAGGATGGGCTTGGATCTGCCCAGACAGCCATCTCTTCCCTGGGGAGGCGCGGTCACCTATTGTGTCATTCCTCCGGAACCTTCTTGTTAAAGCGTACTGAATATACTTGAAAACTGTTGGATTGTCATCCTTTCTGTGTCCCCCACTTTGACCCAGGAGTAAAATCTGGATGGTCGATACTTTCCTCTTCCCCTGCGGGTGCCGGGCAACATTCCCCATTATGTTTTGGATGGTGAGTCACGGTAGGATCTTTCCTTCATACCTTCAGTTAACAGCCGTGAAAGTTGGAGACCCGGTTTGTGGCACAGCAAAGGTTATCTACCTTGGGTCAGGCCAAGGCCTTAATTTGAAAAACAAAATAATAACAACAGATATATCCCCTCTTTGTGCAAAGAGGAGCTTTTGGACTTAGAAAGCATTAACCGGGGCTTTCTGTTCACTGTTCAAAACAGGATTCACAAAGGAATTTCGAGTGCATTGGAGTATTATTCTGTTAATGGCCCTGTGATTTCCCATGGAGGGGTTTATCACATTTTATGGCCCAAGGATATGGGCTTGACTAGAGATAAAGAAGTTTCTTCTTTTCATTATTGTGTTCCTGGGAAAGAGATACCAGGAATTCCTGTGACCTCAGGACACTCTCAACCCAGAACTGGGGACCTTTTTTTTTTTAGATGAGAGGGAACAGCTTTTAATTCACTCACGGGCATGACTGTGGCTCGAGGCAAAATGACTGTGACCCGCTGTGATCAGACTTGGGGGAGGGACCCATCACCTTCCCTAGTCTCTCTTTCCCAGTATGCACACATTAAGGATATATTCCTACCCCTAATCTTCAAAACAAAAACAAAACAAACAAACCCCCCCCCAAACCCTGGGAAGGGCTTGTGGTGTCCACAGCAGCTTAAAAGCTAACAGAAGCCTCAGGCCACAGGTTGGGATCCCTGATGAGGATATGACGCTCCTACTAGTGTCTTGCACATTCCCTGGGACCCTCCACGGCTCCAATCAACTTCTGCACAGGGCACCAGGCGTCTTGCACTGAATAGATGCTTAGGAAATGTTTTCACAATAAAGTCTGTCAATTTGTTTCCTGTGAGTACTCACCATGGTAATCAATCTCTCCACTTAAAAAGAAGTTTCCTTATATGTGGAAAAATATTAAACCCAGAAAACCTAAAATTTAAATATACAAAATATAGTAGTATAAGGAAGACGTGATTTTTTTAAATCACTGCATCTACATTTCTTTTTTTTTTTTTTACTATTTATTTTTATTTATTTGGTTGTGTCGGGTCTTAGTTGCTGCAGGCGGGCTCCCTAGTTGCGGCTTGCCGGCTCCTTAGTCGCAGCACGTGGGATCCTTAGTTGCAGTATGCATGTGGGATCTACTTCCCTGACCAGGGAACGAACCCGGGCCCCTGCATTGGGAGCGCAGAGTCTTATCCACTGTGCCACCAGGGAAGTCCCTCTATTACTTTTTAATCATGCTTACTTCCAAAAAGGATTTAAGAAACAATTTTCAATTAAATACATACAAAACAGGGTACCTTTAAAAAGACAAGTCCTAATTAAAAAAAAAAAAAAAAAGACAAGCCCTGTACTTGAGGGAGAGAGAGATGTCACAAAACCCAGTTGCTGGAACTAAACACAGTTTGTGTCCCTGCATTTCCTGAAGATCAGGCAAACTGAGCATCGCTTGCTCTGTGAAAACTGCCCTGGCTTACACACCACCCCCTTAGGAACCTCTCCTCTGAACTTGCTGTGGCACCTGCCCCAGTGTATGGTGGCTGCTGTGATTTGACTTCTCTGCTTCTCCCGCTAGACTCGGAGCTTCCAGAGGAGTTGGGTTTCATTCATCTTTATATCCATGCTGCCCGGAACAGCACACGGAGTTCATGGTCAACGAATATACTGGGTTATGTAACCTTCACTGTTCAACAGAGAGGAGGGAGCACTCCCCTTGTCAAAAGAGCTGCAACCTCTTAGAGATGCCGGGTGGCGTGATGGACACAGTGTGACTACTGGCTGCCCCCTGACTGCTGCTTTTACCTCTGCAGATGCCCCAGTCAGCTCTGTGGCCCTTCGCCAGTCAGGAGGCTATGTCGCCACAGTTGGAACAAAGTTCTGTGCTTTGAACTGGGAAGATCAGTCAGCAGTTGTCTTGGCCACAGTAGATAAAGACAAGAAAAGCAATCGATTCAATGACGGGAAGGTGGATCCCGCTGGGAGATATTTTGCCGGTATGGTTTACCTTTAGCACATACTTACTGAGCTTTGGGGAAGACCAGAATGTGACTTACAAAAGCCTCACAGCTGCAGTAGTAAAATAAGTGTTCATAACGGGTTTGGGTTCTTCTTTCATTATTACTTAAGTCACTTGTATCCAAAAAAAAAA